GCTCCAACAAATAACAAACGAAAACACACACACACACACACATGGCACACGTACTGCTCAGTTGGTCAAAACATCACCACAACCAGACAACTGTTGCAAGATCAATCCGTCGTGGTAACAACACTCCATCACTGACACACACACATACAGAGAATGCTGCAACTACAGAAGTGACATAATCGAAACAAAAGCAAAGCAATCGAACGAATCAAAACCAACTGGTGGAAGGGAATCAATACCAAACGTAGTGAAAAGGCCCATCGCCCCCGTGAAACGGACAACGCCCCCCAGCATGTCTGAAACACGCAAGGGGGGGGGGAATACAATGATTGTGGTCACCATGCACGCATGCAGGAGTGCATGGCGTACTAGTGCGACTTGCAAACGCTTAAACTCCAAAGAGGGGGGGGGGGAGGGGAAGGAAGGGGGTGTGTCAAACAAAAACACAATACGACACCAGAAGAGGTGGATGGGAGACAAGACGGGACAGACATGAGTGTGATATACTCGTGCGAGTGCGCCACCTTCCGCACAGGCATGGCTGTCGGTGGACGCTTGGGGGTCAGCAAATCAACTTGGCCAAAGCCAACAAGAAGGGAAGAGGAAAATTGGGGCAAAACCTCACCAAAGGGAGACGCAACACAAGCGAATCATACACGCCATACCACAAGGCGGCAGCTTAAGGTCGCTGTAGCACGGGCCGTGTGCGTGTGAGATAGCCCTTTGCATGTCTCAGTGCTGTTGTCGATAGCGCTCTAACACGAATCATCATCATCATCATCATCACCACCACACCATCACCATCGTCACGCGTCTGATTGCTCGAGAGCAACGTCGCCCTTTGCCGCCGAAGTGGCCGGCCGCTTTGGAACAGGTGAGCTTGGCGGCGATGATGCAGTCGTTGACAACGCGTGACCACCCTTGCTGGTACTGATGCTGGTAGTGGTGCTGGTAGTGATGTTTTTGCTGGTGGTGGTGGTGTTGTTGTTGTCGTTGTTGCTGCTGCTGCTGTCGCCGTTCGCTGTTGCTGTTGTGGGCGTGTTGCGGTGGGTGTGCAGCTGCATGCAGTGGGCGAGGAGCGTGGTGACACGGCGCTCAAACGCGTCCAAGAACGTGGCGGGGTCAATCTTGCCCTCCAAGTACTCAGCGCACATGTCTGCTGCCTCGTGCACGCCTTCCTCTGTCACAAGCGCCTGGTGCACGTAGAGACTGGTCATGTCCGCGTCCACATCAAACTCGGCCTCGTAGCCCGTGCCAAGCTCGAGCAGAACCTCGACGTAGTCGTACGACGGCACGAGCAGGTTGGTGAAGAAGTGGTCGTCAACAGGTGGCAGCATGCTGCGTCGCCGCATTGCTGCTGGGGAGGGCAGCGAGCTCTTTCGCCTGCCCACCTCCGTGAACGACGAGCCGACACACGCGCTGCCGCGGGGTGTGCGGGGTGCAGATGTGGCCAGCGTGAAGGGCGCCAGCGTGTATGAGCCGCGTGGGTTGCCTGCATGCATCGCTACGCCGTTTGCGAAATGGCCGGGCGCGGTTGCGGAGAGGCGGGATGCTGCGGTGGTGGTTGTGCTGTGCTTCATCGCCGGGTTGATCGCTGGGTTGCATGAGCGCCGGTGCTGGTGGTGCTGGTGGTGGACTTGGTGGGACGACCGCCTGCTTGGGTCACTGCTGCGGCTGGCGCTGCTGGTGGTGGTGGTGGTGGTGGTGGTTCGTTCAGCGAGGCTGCTCATGGCAATGGCGTGGACGCTCGCACGGGTGCGTGGCGCTGCCGTGCCCTTGGGCGTGCAGAGGCTGAGGGAGGGGCGGCGTGCTGCTGGCGAGGACGACGACCCCGACGACTGGCGCTTGCGTGCAGACCAGACGACGCGCTGGCGGCCGCAGCCGAGCATGTCGACACCGCAGCCGGGCTGCTGCATAAACCACGACGCCGGGCGATGGGCGAGCCCTTGCTGGCGCGCGAGGGCGTCCAGGATACACGCGGCAATGAGCTTGGTGCGGCCATACTCCATGCCAATGTTGAGGTTGCGCGTGGTGAGGCTGAGCAGGCGCTGGTACTCCTCGCGCGTGCGGCAGCTCTCAAACTGGTGGAACACGCGGGAAGGGTCTGACTGCAGGAAGAGGTAGAAGCGCACGTTGGCCAGCATGGCCTTGGCGTAGTCGGCAAAGGTGAAGGCGGCTGCGTCACGCAGGGAGCGGTGGATTTCCGGAAGCAGCTTCCACGAGTTGGTGAGGAACCAGCGGGTGTCTGTGGACGCAAAGTTGCCCACGTCACGCTCGGCAACGAGGCAGGCCACCTCCACGGCAAGCTTGGCCTGGTGGCGCGTGTATGTGTCGCTGAGACCGGGCACAATGTCGGTGGCGGCGAGCGCGCGCTCAAGGAGGTCGTTGTAGACGCAGGGGCCGCGAAAGGGGATGGTGGCCTCAATGCAGATGACAATCTCAAAGAGCGCCGCGGAGGAGACGAGTGCCTGCAGGCACTGTGCGGCGAGGAGGGCGCTGAGAAACTCGTTGACGCCTTGCTGGCCCGTCTTGAGGAGTGTGGCGTCCTCCCAGCCGAAGATGGCGCGACACAAGCGCAGCGGCAGCGGCTGCTGGTCTGTGGCGAGGGTGTACATGGGCCTGTCCTCGCCGCTGGGCCCGCGTTCCGCTCCCGATGTGGTGACGCCCGCGCGGGAGAGCTCGCCCATGACGAGAGGATGCACGCCATCGTCAATCTGCAGGTAGACGACGTCGTGGAAGACACCAGCGAGGCAGGAGATGGGCTGCGTCTCCGCAGACACGAAGAGATCAAACACGTGCCGTGTGGCGTGGTACACGCGATTTGGTGTGCCCATAGCGGAGCAGATGATGGTGGCGAGCCTGTCAATGTGCTCGTCTGTGACGTCGTTGCACTCGAGTGCATCAAATGCCTGTCGCATGGCCACCGTAACGCGCTCCTTCTCCGCGAGCGGGGGCATTGCTGTTGCTCTTGTGTTGGGCTCTGACTTTGCAAATTGGTGACATGATGTGGGTGAGGTTGGCTTATCGGCCATGTTGTTGTCGTTATTGCCGCTGTTGTTGTTGATGCAGGGTTTGCTGTTTGTGGCGGACACGTTGTGTGCGATGATGGTGTTGGTGGAGTTGTGGCGTGAGGACGGTTTGCTCGCCCTGGCGATCGCCGGCTGGGTTGCGGTGGTGGCGGCTTGAATGGTACTTGCGTTGGCGTTCATCCCAAGTGTTGACATACCTATGCATGGTGGTGTGTGTGGTGGGGGGGGGAGGGTAGGAGGGGAGAGGGAGGGAGGAGGAGGGAGAGAGGAGGGGGAGAGAGAGCGCAGCCAACGAGCAGAAGGAAGTTGAGGTGAGTTGGTGGGTCAGATGGGCAACGTGATGTGTGGGGGCGGGAGGTGGTGGTGATCGTGCGTGATGGCAGTGTTGCAACAGCAAAGTGGCTAATGGCAAGTGGCTGATGGCAAGTACGTAGTGGCACAGCAAGCATGCAGTGCCATAAAGTACGAAGTCGCTCATCGATGCGCACACGCACACGCACACGCACACGCACCACGCACACAACAACAATGACATGTGGTGGAGACACAATCATCCCCTCGCTACATGCACACCCTCGACTCACGTCAACTCACCAAGCAATGGCAATGCTTGCGCGCGTGTATGTATGTGTGTATGTGTGGTGATGTGATTGGAGTGTTGGGGAGAGGCTTCACGAAGCACAAGCGTGGGTGGCACCGCAGCAAGGGTTGGTGGTTTTGGTTGCTGCTTGATGGAAGTGTTTGCGTGTGGGGAACGTGAGGGTGGTTGGAGAACACGGTTGCTCTTGTGTAAATGATCGTGGAGGCGTGTGCCGGTGTTGCTCGTGTGCGCTATGCGTGATGTTCTGCTTACCGAGCTTCGACGGCCTGTTGCTGCAAGCTTGGGGTGGCTGGATGCCTCTTTCCTCAGGCCGAGACGTTCTTGCACAGGGCACGGAGGATGGTCGGGTTAAGTAGGTGGACCTTGACGTCGTCGCTGTTGTCGTCGTCGTGTGCCCTTGCGTTGAATGTTCCAAATGAAGGCAGATGACGCTGCTGGCGGCGATGATGAAAAGGAGGAAAGGGTGTCTGGGTCGTGTGCTGGGATGGGGTTGGTATGCGTGAGCCAACACGAAGAAGATGTAAGATGTGTGCAAACCGGTCCTGCTTTGCGTCAACGGCGCGCGCGTATATGGCCTGGCTGGGTGGTTGGATCAATCGGACTGTGGAAGGAGAAGAACATGAAAGTAGAAGAACAAGTCGAAGAAGAAGCAGCAAGAAGTCGAGGGAGAAGTGGAAGAAGAAGAAGAGGGAGCGAGCAGGGCGCAGAAGTACCCCGAACACGGAGAGAAACAGTGAGTGGGTGAGTGAGTGAGTGGTGATCCTCCTTTTCTTGCACGGATGTGGATTGTGTGTTGTTGTGTGGCCGCGTGCCTTCGCAAGAACGCAAACGCGCGAGGGATGTGGGAAGGAAACAGCGCAGGGTGCGATAGTCGTCGTCGCAGTCGTGGCCGCAAACAGCATGTGCGTACCTCTTGCGCGGTTGTGTGTGTGTGTGTGTGATTGGGAGACGCGCAGAACAACCGCACGAACAGAACAGAGGCACAAACAAAACACTCTGGCTTTGGAATGCCTTGCTTGAGGGAACAGGCAATTGGAATGAAAAGGCGGGCTCACCAATTGCCGGTATCGCAGCAGCCGCCCAATCCAGTCTCTCGCACCACCACCACCACAGCTGTGTTGGGTTGTGTGCGGTGGTTGTTGGTTGGCTGGTTGGTGTTGGGTTGTGGTGGGGTGGCATGCATGTAAAATGGTCAAAACACCACGCATGAGCCAGAAGAAGCAGCAAGCACAATCAAGCAAACAGAACACCAAAGGCATCCATTCAGAACATACCAGCCACTGAGCCACGCACGACTTGCTTCTTGGCTTGCTGTGTTGTTGATGCTGTGTGTGGAGTCTGGAATGTTGGGATCGTCAAGGCAAAGCAGTGAGGTGTGTGTGTGTGTGTGTGTGTGTGTGTGTGTGTGTTGTTGTTGTTGTTGTTGTTGTTGAGAGAGACGCAGGCACATAGCCAGTGAAATCCCTTACGACAGCGCACCCAACCACGCTCGCCACCTCCCAACCACCACCCAACCCAACCTCGGCCAAGCCCACAATATGCGGTGATTCGGTGGCGATGGTCAGGGTTTGGCTGGTTTTTTGAAACAGTGGTAGCTGGCCTTGGGGTTTCGTCATGCGGTTGGAATGCGAGCGGGTGTGCGTTGTGTGTGAGAGGTGTGAGATGTGGTGTGAAAAAGGAAACGACGACAACGTGCATGCAGTGTGTTTTGCCCAGGCAGACGAACGCAAGCATGCACGCATAGCACAAGCACATACAGAACAGACGCACGCGCGTTCACACAACAACCACAAGGCACGTGGAAACGATGACGACTGACCTGCCCTGAAGCCAGCTCACTGACCAATCGTATGCAAGCAAGCTGAGCGTCGGAGAAAAAAAAAGGATGAACAGCAATGCATTGCTGACCAACCCGCCCGCCGCTGGCCCGTGGTTTGGTGGGATGATGGGAGGGCAGGCAGGCTGACTTGCTTTTGACGGTTGCGCGGCTGGTGCTGCTGGTGGTGGTGTTGCAGATTGCCGGACACCAACGTCTGGATTGTAGAAAGTTTGATGAAAATTTCTCATGATTATCTACAACCCTGACGAATAATCCACCAGGATGACGAACGAGAAGCTGCAAGCAAGCAAGCTGTTTGTTCGGGGGGGCTTGTTGTGGTGTGCCCTTGTTGCAGCCGTGTTTGTGAATGAGAGAAGACGGGGAGAGCGCATGGGACGATGAAAGTGGGGTGCAATGTGTGTGTGTGTGTGTGTAGTGTGTGTGTGTGTGTGTGTGTGTGTGTGTGTGTGTATGGTGTGTGTGTATGGTGTGTGTGTGTGTGTGTATGTGTGTGCCAATGAGGCGTAGGCTCTCGTCTTGCTTCACTTCCTTCCTTGTTTGGAAGCCGAAATCATGGCAAAATTGGTTGGGGTTCACTATGTTTTCATCCGAGGGCAAGGGTCATCAGCATACACACACATCGACCAGTCTACACACACACACACTCTCTCTCTCTCTCTCTCTGTCTCTCTCTCTCTCACACACACACACACCCTCTCTCTCCCCGCGGCTGCCATCCCATCCCATCCCATCCCATCCCATCCCATCCCATCCCATTCCCCCAACCACCACCTTCTTCCTCTTCGCTTCCATGTTGTTTACATTACAGCCCATGTCTGTCATCGGGCGGTGTGTTGCGCCGCTTGCACAACAAAGTCGGCCAGGGTGCCGAGAACGGCATGGGCATCTAGGCCCGGCGGTAACCGCAGCCGCGACACAGCCTGCATATCGCCTACGCATCACATGACGTGTGGGTGAGACCCACGAGAACGGAACGAAGCAAGGTGAAGGTGAGAATCAGAGTGAACAACATGAGCAGCGTTGCTAGGCCCCGTAGGCTCACTTCATGCACAACAAAGAAAAAAACAAAGACACTCAAAACCAGGCAAGCAAGCACGTGGAAACAACTAGAGATTGCAGAAGACAGTTGAAGAAGAAGTGGCAACAACAATACTCAAAGCCCACATTGTGTGTGTGTGTGTGTGCTGTACGTACAAAAGAGAATGTGGTCTGTGGAAGATGACAATGTCGCCGACGACGATAATGATGACAGTGATGAGGGTGGGACGGTGGCTACTGCGCGTAGCTCAGGGGCCAACGTGGCCGGCACGATGCAGCACTCCACACTGGCCACGTCAACGCCAGTGCATTGGATCACCCGCCGCGCACAAGATACAGCTTCACGCGGCAGCTGTGCGATTGTGTGTGTGTGTGTGTGTGTGTGTGTGTGTGTGTGTGTGTGTGTGTGTGTGTGTGTGTGTGTGTGTGTGTGTGGAACTCAGTGCGTGCGTAATCATAACCATGACAGGCAGTGGATCCATGTACAGGCACACGCAGCTGCACATGTGCACACGCGTACACGCAAGTAGCGCATACGTCTGTCTCGTGTAGTATCTCTGATCGGAAGGCCATGTGTTGTGTCGGTGGCAGGATGGGAAGACAGGCTGGTTGGATCCCTGTCGATGGGGAGACAGGCTGGTTGGATCCCTGTCGATGACAATGTCCATGTCCATGTCGATGACGGAGCATCGCAGAAGTTGCAATACATGAAGGGTGGTACACACACACACGTACTTACAGCACACACACGCGCACGCACACATAATTACAGCACACACACAGCACACACACACACACGCGCGCACACGCACACACACACACATAGCATACACACGCGCGTGCGCACACACCCATAGCCCAGGCATACGTTCGCTATCGTTGTTGGTGGCATGGCTCGGGTGGATCCTATGCGCAAACAGCAATTGATCTGGCAGCAAGCAGCAAGCAAAGGCGAAAAGTTAGGCGCACGTGGCCACAAAGATCTGTGAACATTGCAGCCCAACACACACACACACACACGCACGCATGAGACATGCCGATTGCGATCCCGCTACAAAACTCCCCGATCCTGAAAGAAAGCACTTCACACACACACACACACACACACACACACACACACACACACACACACACACACACACACACACACACACACTTCACACACACACAATGCACACACACACACGCACACAATGCACACACACAATGCACACACAAACACTTCACACACACACACACGCACACACACGCACACACGCACACGCACACACACAGCCCGTTTACATCGCATCCCAGACAACAGTGACGTGTTCCGTGTTGAAACAGCAAGCGTGGTGGCTTCAGCTCAACACAATACCTCTGGCGAAGACCATGCGAAGAATTCCATCGCGCAGGACAGCCGGCGGCAATTGCGGCTGGTCATGGTGGGGGTACGGGATGGTGGTAAGTGGTGGCAAGTGGTGGCAGTGAGCATGTGGTGGTGATATGTGCCTATATGGCGGTGATGATCGTGCTGTGGTGGTACAAGAGAGAGTGAGGGGAATAACATGATGAGGAAAAGAGAATCATCAGCAAACAGCAGCGGATAGAAACATGCATAGAACCCCAGGCATGGGCAGCAATCAAGAGGCTGGTATGTTTACGGGCGAACCTGCAGTACGCAGCCATCAGCACGAAATGAGGGATGCTGTTCGACATATGCATCCAAATCGTCGACGGAACGGACCTGTTGTTGAGGTGCAAGCGGGGTAAGCAAGAGGGGGGAGAATATGAGAGAGTGTGTGTATGTGTGCGTGTGTATGTATGGACGCAAATGAGCATCGACAGAGGTCATACATGCACACAAATGCACACACACAAATGCACACACACACACACAAATGCACACACAAATGCACACACACACACACACAAATGCACACACGAAACAACATCCACACACCCACAAGACGACACATAGACGGAAAACCTGTTGAGCGTTGGAGTCAAGGCTGCATGGATTGGTTCGAACTACGGCAGGGAAGGGAAAGGAGCCCAGACGCAGGCGAAGCGCGTCGACAGAGCGAAACAAGAGAACTCGTGGGTGCGCCATGTGCAGCTGTCGCATGACGCGGAATTGATTAAGGCGGGTGGCCCCCAGCTCGAGCGCTGGGGCACCGTTGATGATCGTCGTTCCGTCGTCTTCCAGGTCGTACAAGCGGCCAAGCACCTCCTGCAACCGCGATGGCCTGTCCCGCAAGTGCGCACACGGGCGCGCCAGGTTGAGGATGATGCGCGGGCTCAGTCGGGCCAAGGCGCCATGCTCCTCCGTCCACGCGTTTCTCACACAGCACTGCAATCCCCGTGCGCGCAACAACGTCAGCAGCTCGTGCACTTCATCGTCAACCTCATCCTCGCCAGCCTGCAAGTGGTGGACAGTGGAGGGGGGGATGGCGAATTGGAGCGTGAGGGAGTGGGTGAAGGAGCACAAAACAACATGAGGAAATGATGCCAGCGAGCTCAAACACATGCGGAGCAGGACAGCCAAAGAGCGAGAGGTAGACATACACACACACACTCACACACACACACACTCACTCACTCACTCACTCACTCACTCACTCACTCACTCACTCCCAAACGCGCGCACCTCTGCCAAGACGCACACATCCATCATCGTCATGTCATTTGCAGTCGTCACTGGCAACGACACCATAAACAGTAGTCCCATATCAGCACAGCTGTTTTGCTTGCTTGCTGCCTACTGGCTTTCCGCCTTGCGTCAAACAAGGACTGCAGCTGGCGACATGGCTCCACCGTCCCCTAACATCAAGTACAACCCCATCGCCTGGTCCATGTGGGCCAACGTCCTTGGCGTCTACGGAGGCTTTCGTACGTACTTTCATGAACGTGTGCGTCTGTCTGCGTGTCTGCGTGTGTGTGTGCATGTGTGCGTGTGTGTGTGTGTGTGTGTGTGTGTGTGTGTGTAAGTCTGTGTGTGTGTGTGTCGTGTGTGTGTGTGTGTGTGTGCGTGTGCGTGTGTGCGGTGGCACACAAATGCATGTCACATCCGCCGCTCCTTCCCCTGTCCCATGTTCTCTCCCTCCTCGCTCACTCCCAAACCCACTCACGCACTCATTCGTGCGCTCTCGCCGATAGTGCTGCTGTTGGGCGGCATCCTGTCCCAGTTTGATGACTTCAAAGTCAAGGGCATCGGCACCTTTGCAATGTACGACACTGCTGTTGCTTGTCGCTTTCTACCAACGCTTGTGTTGTCCCTCCTCCTCCTCCTCCTGTTGTCAATGTTCTCACCAATGCTTGCACAATTTGGTGGATGCACCACGCATGCCAACTCCGACCACGGAACAAAGCGTGGCTTCCATCTTCATCATCCTCTTCGAGTGGCCTCGCTCCAAGAGGAAGAAGGGCTACACCATGCCACGCGAGTATCAGCATCTCATCACCCCAATCGTGGCCAAGCTCGGGTTCCTCGCATCAAACTACTTTGCCCGATTCGTCCTTCACCTCATGTACGGTCTCGTGTTTGCGGGTGTGTGCCTGTGTGTCTGTGTCTGCGTGTCTGTGTCTGTGTCTGTGTGTCTGTGTCTGTGCCTGTGTCCGTGTGTCTGTGCCTGTCTGCTTGTGTGTCCGTGGTAGGACTCATAGCTTGTTCCAGTGTGGCCTGTGCTTTGTTTCTCCTCCCCCCTGTTGTTAAGGCAACCCACCTCGCACCGTCTCCGGCACGTTCACTGTTCTCTCCAATTTCCTTGACTGCACCCCACGCACCATCTTGGCCCTAGGCTGTGCATCCCCACCTACTTCTCTCTACCGACCATCGTTGGGGGTGTGACCATCTCCATTGCTGCGTGAGTTCCAGCGACAACAAAGCAGAATCATGCGTCGATAACGCACATGCATCGCTTCTTCTGCTCACGTCTTCCGCTCCACTCACACCCAGCTCTGTGTGTGTGTGTGCGTGTGTGTGTGTGTGTCGGTGTGTCTGTGTGTGTGTGTGCCTGCACTTCTGCGTATGTGGCTGCACTGTACTTCTGCGTGCGTTTGCCTGTGTATTTGTGATGGGGGCTGTCCAACAACAGCATCGTGTACTTGGTTGCCGCCATCAAGGGGGAGTCGTGGGTTCCGCTTGCGAAAGAGCAGCCGCGCACGCGTCGACCAAAGATCACCGCGGCCCCAACAAAGGCCCCGCCACGCCGACCACAGCACGTGCGGCAACATGGGCCATGCGCTTGTGTTGTGCTTCTCCTCCGAAACGCGCTACCGCCCACATTCAACTCTGCTTCCCGTCACACACACACACGTAAACACACACATACACGTAAACACACACATACATACAACCATTGCACTCACGCACACACATCACACACGCACATGTACGTGTGCACCTCAGGCTGAGCGGAAGTACACGGCTGTTGGCGGCGGCGGCGACGAGGCGCCACTGCAGGCATCGAAACTCGTTCATGCAACAGCAACAGGGGGCACCACCGTCCAGCGACCCCATGTTGCCACGCGACCCACCGTTGCCACACGGCCGACAGTGGCAGCCAGGCCCAGCGTTGCGGCGAGGCCCGCACAGCAGAGGAGCAAGTTTGAGGTACAACACGAAAGAAGCAGGGATGGGGAGAGGAAGTGGAATAACATAACTCAAACTTGTGCACACGCGCATGCATACATGCACACACGCTCTTCCCTCTTGTACCACTGACAACCACACACACACACACACACACACACACACACACATATATATGATGCACGTGCAGGACTATCCTTGGGAGCATGCGGTGGACGATGTGTCTGGTGAAACATACTACATCAACACGCAAACAAGCGAAACGTCGTGGGAACCGCCGGAGGACTGGGAAGAGGTGGGTGTGTCTGTGTGTGTGTATGTGTGTGGGTGTGTGCCCGCTCGTTTGTGATCACTCAATTGTCCCTGCAACTGCATGTATCTCACACATAACCCCTCTGTCCCCACCCCCTCTCGCCTCTACCCGCCATGCCTGCCACCCCACAGTTTGTTGCGTTCCACAACGGGAATCCCCCCACGTCCTTTGCATGATATGGACTCGACAACCGCCCACCACAAACACCATAGTTCCATCCCCTACTATCCCCTCCCTTACCAACACCAACGCCCTTGCTGCTTCTGTGTTAATCTGTGTGACATATGTGACATGCCACACCTGTCCCTCCCCCTTTCCACTTCTTTTCCGCTGTTTTCGTTTGCGCGGGCTGGCTGGCCCAATTGGCTGTGCACTGGGACTCCAACATTGCTGCCCACTGCTTGGTGGCTGCTTCTTCTTCTTTTGTGAATTCGTGCCACCGCTCTCCTGTTGCTGCCATAACACGCAGGTACTGCCCCCCCCCCCAAACACACACTCACACATATATAGTTGTTGATTTGCCCTGTTGCCCCGTTTCTCCAGTTTGGGAGATGTTTTGTATACTTTCCACGCATGAACTGCTGCACGCCCACAGGCGAGAACAACAAACGCAATCATCAATCAAACAGGGTTGGACTGATACATGCACCAACAACACTGAAACACAAAACATCCAACAACACAACACAATCACCCAACGTGAAGCACACAACAAAGAGGAGCCACCATGCACCCACAACAGCACAAAGCGACAACAGCGGCAAAGTGGTCTGCCGTTGCTTCTGCTCCTGGTCGTGACGATGACTGTCGTGTTGGTGGTGGTGGTGATGATGATGATTCGTCGTGACTTGGATGATGGTTTAGTCTGCGGTGGTGGCCATGGACTGCTCCTTCATTGCCTCGTACTCGTAGTGCAGCGGGCCGACATCCTGCATGTTCAGGATGCGCTCCCATCCCGTCTCCTTCATGTGGTACACTGCACATTAACAATGATGGTGGTGGTGGTGGTGGATGGTGGATGGTGGATGGTGGATGGATGAGGGCATGCAACACAGCGACAGCAATGTGCAGCCGCTGACGCAATATGCTTCACATGATGAGCACACACACACACACACACACACACACACACACACACACACACACACACACACACACACACACACAAAACGCCACCACCGCTCGAGAGGTACGCATTGCATTGGACGCACGGTTGATGTGGCCGCCAGAGTATGCGTCCCTGAACGTGGCATGGTAGATGGCGCGGCGTGCAAGCTCATGCGCCTCCTCAACGCTCAGGTCCCAGCGGTACCCCTGCACACGCAGCGATGGCGAGCAGACGCAATTTGGGAAGGGAGGGGGTGTTGGACGTGTGAGGAACGCATGTCATGGTGTGCATACAATTGCACACAAACAAATAAACAATCAAACCAAACAAGCACGCAAAAGCAAACAAACACACAAACAAGCAAGCAAACACACAAACAAACAAACAAACAAACAAACAAACAAACAAACAAACAAACACACACACACACAAACAAACAAACAAACAAACAAACAAACAAACAAACAAACAAACAAAACAAACACGCAAGAGCCAACAAACACACACGAACAAACAAACACGCACACACATACACACAAGTTAGCGCACCGCGTCGAGAACGCCATAGGCGTAGGTTGAGCCCGAACCGACGGAGAAGAGGTTGTTGGTGAGACGCGTGCCGTCGCTGTCGACGTAGAAGAGACCAGGGCCCTTCTTGTCCCACCCGCAGATCATCGTGCCCTGCAGTCATGGGTACGCACACGCACACGCATAAACACACATACGCATGTGTAGGTGTGTGGTGAGCATTGAAAATGAGGGAAGAGAAAGCAACGGCTGCCAACGCAACCAAACGTTAACACACACATACGCACGCACGCACACACATCCACACGCACCATGGAGAGGCCCATGCCGCGGTAGTGGTAGACGATGTTGGCCAGGATCTTGGAGGCGGCGGCAACAGAGATGCGCTCCCCATTGCGCAGCTCAAACAGCCTGCATACGCGCAGTTGTGTGTGCGTGTATGTGTGTGTGTATGTGTGTGCGTGTGTGTGCGTGTGTGTGTGCGTGTGTGAATGCAACAGACGGGCAGACACACAGCCAGACAGACAGACGAGAGTGCGTGCATGAAATGCTGTTGTGAGAGTTGACTGAAGAGCGAGTGTCCATCATCCGCGCACACATTTACACATGGCTCAACCACGCATGTATTCACGCAAGTGCATGCGCACCAAAAAAAAAATATATATATAGCAAAGTCGCCAGCATCTCCAACAGCTCACTGACCTGCACTCCTTGGCAAGGACGCGCTCCCAGTAGGAGCAGTCTGCGGCACCACCAGCCATGGTGCCAAGCAGGTATGGGTTGATCTCAATCACCTTCTTCACAGTCTGTGAGGCTGCAAGGTGAAACACAGCACGTGTGAGATACCACAAACGGGCATTGTTTCTCCGATAGAGACAAACTCGCATTCAATCAAAGGCCCAACACGCATCCAAGCATGCGCACGACAACCACGGCCTCATCTCGCGACTGCCCTCTTCGCTTTTTTGTGTTTTCTTTCACCCGCTCCTTGCTTACACCTTCTTCTTTCCTCCCACATGACGAGCAACGAACCGATGTAGGAGCCCGCAGAGGCGCGGGAGTCGACAGCGATGATGACGCCATGCTGGAACTTGAAGCCAAGCGTGGTGGTGCCGTGGGCAAACTGGATCTTCACCTTGCTGTCTGGGTTGGCATCCGAGTACTGGTGCAAAAACTCAGAGGGCTGTACAGAATCACGGCAATGGTTGCAAGGTGAGCAAGCGATGCGGGATGCTATATCCAAATACGGTGGCATCACGTGCACAACTGCTGCACACACACACACACACACACACACACACACACACACACAAGCAAGTTGAGAGCAACAGATAAAGAGACAAACACAAACACAAACACACACGCACACACAGAAACACGACCACACATGAACACACACAACATTGACACAACCACACAACCACAAACCCACAACCACAAAACACACACACACGCACGAACGTTGTCTGTGCGAGGGAGGGAGAACATGGGCACAGGTCCCGTGAACTGTTGCTCGTCCTCATCCACGTCTGCGCCAGCGTTGTGCTTGACAAGCGCCTTTGATGTGCTGCGGTGAGCACAGGTTGCCGCCTCAAACTGCGGCATTCCACCAAACTCAAACGCCATCGCTGCTGATGCCGTGTGTGTGATGTGTGTGCCTGTGTGTGTTTCAGTCAAGCTGAACTTTGGTTCTGTAAGAGTGAGCGATGGAGGGAGTGCAGGCGAGCAAACAACGCGTCTCTTGTTGATGATGGTCAGATGGAAACTGGTCGACACAATCGAGTGTGTGAAGCAACGGCAGAGCAGCAGAGCAGCCTTGGATTGACGAAAATTTGTTGAAATTTTCAATGAATTGTCGTGTGCCCCAACAAAAAAACCACAACAACGCAGCACGTCTGTGCTTCCTGCCCTCACTCTTGCCTCTCGCTGTTTGATTTGCAGCGGCAGTCGAACTGAGGAGGATACCCGTCCCTTGTGCCTCCCCCCTCTGACTGGCTGCACCGGCGTCATGGAGAAGGCCGTGCGCACGTTGTACGACTACGAGCGGGTGTTCAACGAGAACCTGCGCTTGCTCTCTGAGCGTTTCTTCCTCCCGGTGCGTGAATTCCAATCAATGATGATGCGTATGGACAGCAACACAGAACGAGGAGGACTATTCGCTGTGCTTGATGCCAATCGACACAGCCCATTGGGGGGAGAGGGCTTGGTGTGCATGGCTGCACTGCATGATCTCAGAAACTAAGCCATTACAAATGGCTCGGCCCTCATCCATGCATATGTGTTTTCTGCATGTGTGTGTGTGTGCGCGCGTGTGGTTGTTGCTTGGTTCTGCGTGTGCCAATGCCAACAGTTGAAACGAACGGGCACCATTCAGGGCGATGAAGCCTCGCTTTTGTTCGACATCTTTGATCAACTGATGGCAGCTTCCAAGCGTGCCACCAACTCGCTTGGGCCGGCTGTGGATCACGAAGATCGGTGTGTGTGTGTGTGTGTGTGTGTGTGTGTGTGTGTGTGTGTGTGTGTGTTGGTGTGCCTGTGTGTGTGTGTGTGTGTTGGTGTGCCTGTGTGTGTGTGTGTGTGTCTGTCTGTCTGTCTGTCTGTCTGTGTTGGTGTGTGTATGTGTGTGTGCGTTTCCTGTCTGTGTGGCCGTGTATGTGTATTTGTATTTGTGTGTATTTTTGTGTGTGAGCATGCATTTCATATACGTGTTTCCTTTCATGCGCGTGTATTGTGCGCTGTTTGTTTGCGTTGACACATTCACATGTCTCTCTGCCTGCCTGTCTGCCTTGCTGCCCTGCTGCACGTGTGTCTTGCCACGAACCCATTATCTCGTTATACTTGCCACGTTTTGCTCGTGTCGCCATGAACGCGCTCACGCTTGTGTTGCCACGCGCGCCTTGTTCAATCCTCACCCCTTCCCTCTATCCCACTGCCATCTTTCCCGCCTTGCACTCGTGACAGCATGCCATATGTCTCAGAAGTGTTCTCAGGCCCGCTGTTGGAGGCGTTTCGCGCGTATGTGCAGCAGTTTCTGTCAGCGCACCGGGCGTGGGCCCGGGCCGTGGCCTGCAACGACCGATTGGGCATGTTTCTTGAGATCCAACGGCGTGAGATCAACACCAGCATGGACGAGCTCCTGCGACAACCGGTATTCATGGATTGGCCGCGCGCGCGCGTGTGTGTGTGTGTGTGTGTGTGTGTGTGTGTGTGTGTGTGTGAGGGTGGCGGGCGGTGTAGGACGGCAGTGACGTGTGGTGCACGTGCCTGGCGCTGCTGTATCCACGGAACCAATGTGTTTGTGTGCGTATCTTGTGCCACTCCCTTTTCTGTGCGGTACTCATGCAACTGTGCGCACAAACAAACACAAACACGCATATTGCACATCCACACATCCACACACACGCATCCACGACAGTTGCAACAACTTGCGTTCCACTACGAGACACTACAGAAGATTCTTGAGCTTGCGCCGAAAGACCATCGCCTCTACTCTGTGCTGCAGTCCACAGCCAGCCACTGGGCCTCCATCTTCGAAGGTGCACACAGCAAAAGCATCTCCACACATCAACGTGTTAATGTGGTTGCACGCCACACACACACACACATGCATACTCTGTTATCGTGCGACAGTCCACAACATGGGTCATGTAAACGTGCCCTTTGCTGTTACATTACGCTTCCCACTCATCTCACCATCCACGCCTCCTCCACACCAACCCCCCATCAATGTCCTTCCCAACACCCCCACCCACTTTCCTGGTTGCGCCTGACGGCAGACCAACTGCGGCTGAAGGATGCACTGGAGAACGACAACAAGCTGGCGGACATTGAGGCGGCCTTCCCACACGCAACCCTCAACCTCATGCTGCCACTCGACGATGCTGATGCCGACGACAAGTCCAAGCGCGCGCATCTCCGCAAGCGCTTCTCCTCCCCCGGTGGCATCTTCAAACGCGTACGCACACGTGCTCTATGGCTTGTGATGTGTGTGCTGAGTATGTGCTGTGTGTGTGTGTGCGTGTGCTGTGTGTGTGCTCTGTGTGTGTGCGTGTGCTTGTTTGTTGTTCTGTTTGTGTTTGTTCGCATGTTTGACTCCATGGCTTCGTGTGTCGTTGCACGTTGCACTTCGCTCACGTATCCCGCGACTTGGGTCTTGTCCTCTGCTTTGTTTCGCAGCGCGGCCGCCGCAGTAATAGCCATCAGGGCTTTGACGTAAGCACACACCATATGCCAGTGCCCGCTCGCGCTGTGATTTGATCTTTAAACACACACACACACACACAAATATACACGCGAGCGACAAAAAAACACTCACACACGCACATACTCACTCACTCACTCACTCACTCACACACGCACATACTCACTCACCCACTCACTCACTCACTCACTCACTCACATACTCACTCACTCACTCACTCACTCACTCACTCACTCACTCACTCACTCACTCACTCACTCACTCACTCA